CACACTCACCCAAACATACCTGTGCATGCACACACGCACACCACACACACACAAACATGCCAGACACACACACACACACTACGTCCTACATTTTATATGGCCATGTCCACGACCGGAGTTAAGCATATGATAATGTTTACAACAAGCAAATCAATGGAAGAGCTTCACACAATTCTTTTCTCTCCTTTTAAAACAATCCAGCTGTGACCTCTTCAGACATAACCTGTGCTAACATGCGATGTGTCGACGGGGCAAAGTGTCGGACAGTTGTTGCCTGCCCCACTTGTCAACCCACGTACAGATGTATACCGGCTGATAACGTCCAGAAAGGTAACAGCTTATTTACAGATTGCACTTACATATTGTTTTTACACTCACAATTGTTTATTGTCACGTTTGTGTGTGTAGGTAGACTTTTGGTCATGTTGCAGCTTGTACTATTAGCATGTTGACTCTTCATTGGATACTGAAGAAAGTGGATGGAGAACAAGTGCAGTGAAGCCAATTCTTGATTTATTCATTCATTTATTCAAATAAATGGATCCTGGAAATATGTTGTTGTTTGAGTTTCAAAACAAAATAAATAAAAAAATAATCTGTTGCAAACATTACGTAACATAAATTATATAATCATCTACAGGCTCTAATAAAAGAAAATTACAGTTCAATTAAATTCAAAGAAAATTGCATTTGTGAAAAATAAAAACAAAAATAAAGAAAAAAAAAATGGAGCTGGTCAAGTAAGCATCAGCAAGAATGTTAATCAGCTCCCTGCTCACATAGCTGCACAAGTACTGAAAAACAAATGACATCATTACAATAAACTGACTGTATAGTCCAACGCTGGATACATTTAATGTGCTAGGTGTTAAATTTTATTCACAAAAGGTTGAATATGATTTTTTTTAAACTTTGGTAAGTCACGTGTCTGTCGAACTTCTGATGATTAAACAAACAGGATGCAGTGAGAGTGACCGTGTATGTGTTTCAATGGAATTGTTCAAGTTACTGAGCTTCATTTTATGTGGATGACACTCTGTAGTAATGCACCTGGCGAGATTCAGCGAAAAACACCTGGCAATACATTGTGCAATGTATTGTTTGTATCAACATTTTTAATATTTGATTTTTAACAGGTTGAGTTTATTTGCAGTGATTGCATGTGATTTGCAAAACATTGAAATTGATTTGCAGAACGATGAGTTATTTGTGAAAACATGAATTTGGTTTGCCCATACTGTTTTGTAAACCGATGAATGACGGCTGCTAATTTTTATGTTAACCAGATACTGATACTGTGTGCCAGAATGAGAACTACACTGAGGCCATCTTACTGGAGAATCCCAACAACTCTTCATCGTATAGTCTGCTGCAGTGTGGCGTTGAGGCTGGCACTCAGACATGTCCTTTGGGGTCTAATTGTATACAGGGTCAGACAGGACATGGATCTTGCTGTCAAGGGCACATTGACACACCACAAGCAGACAAGCCTGGAATTTGTCCATCGGTAATTGTTATATTTTGGTCCTTTCTGCGCTCTGACCACCCCTTCAGGCTTCCAGAAAATGGTAATCAAAATTAGCTGTGGCAGTTAGATGTTGTGGCATGATCAAATTTAACAGAATTGGACTGCTGTTAGGTTTACAAATCGAACAAATTCAGATTGACATCGATTCAAAATGGACATAAAGATGACATTTCAAGAAATCGTTTTTTACGTGATCTCTCCATTATGAGGCAAACAAATATGTCATTTATTGACTGTTGTGTTTTACTAAGCAGTTTTATGTTATGCAGTTTACTTTCCGACTATTACTTTCCGACCATTACTTTCCGACCATTACTTTCCGACCATTACTTTCCAACCATTACTTTCCGACCATTACTTTCCGACCATTACTTTCCGACCATTACTTTCCGATTATTACTTTCCGCTCATTACTTTCCGACCATTACTTTCCGACCAATACTTTCCGACGGTATGATAAAAAGTGGCCTGGTACAAAGTCGACTACAGCTGACTCCAGATTCCATCATTATAGAAATGTGAAGCTAGTTCAGACTTAAACCACAGACACCGATTTGAAACAGATGAATATTTAAAAACATAGGTCAGCTAGCAAACATTTGAAAAAAATAATAAATTTTCAATTTTGATAACTAGAGTTTTCAAAATGAATCAGAAATATTGCTTGTTTTACTGCATTATATCCTGCACTAGGAAAAAGGAATGGACACGAAATAAAAAAATAAATAAACAAAACAAAAATACTTATCTGGCTAGTAAATGAAAAAGAAATGTACAGAAATATATTAAAGATATCTAACAGCGGCTTCTGAATGTTTGAAATAATTGCTGCCTGCCACTGTTTAGCAGAACTCGTACTATTAACCACCGGATGCTGGGGTTCATAACTGGGGGAGGGGGGGGGGGGGAGGATCTGAGCACCTGTGGACATGTCCGGAGTACAAGGATGATAACCCAGCTAACTAACTAACTAACTAACTAACTAACGAACCAATCAAACAAGTAACTTACTAATTAGCTGACTAACTACCTGACTAAGGTGTTGATTTATATTAGAAGTTTGTATTAAATGATCTCTGTGTTGTAGCTGAGAAGTGTTTAGTGACCTCTGTGTTGTCGCTGACAAAATATGGTTGTAGGCTAAACACTGAGTATATGGATGGGATTTAATAAATTATTGTTTAGTTTTTCTACTATGTCCTTTCCTCTCTACTTTTCAAAACTGAGTAAAATGGTATGGGGAAAAAAAAAGGACACAAGAGATGTAATGTCTGTCAGAAAAATGGGAAAAACAAAGACACAAGAGATGTAATGTCTGTCAGAAAAATGGGGGGAAAAAAAGACACAAGAGATGTAATGTCTGTCAGAAAAATGGGGGAAAAAAAAGACACAAGAGATGTAATGTCTGTCAGAAAAATAAGGTAAAAATAAAGACACGAGAAATGTAATGTCTGTCAGAAAAATAAGGTAAAAATAAAGACACGAGAGATGTAATGTCTGTCAGAAAAATAAGGTAAAAATAAAGACACGAGAAATGTAATGTCTGTCAGAAAAATGGGGAAAAAACAAAGACACAAGAGATGTAATGTCTGTCAGCAAAATGGGGGAAAAAACAATACACGAGAGATGTAATGTCTGTCAGAAAAATGGGAAAAACAAAGACACGAGAGGTGTAATGTCTGTCAGAAAAATTGGGAAAAAACAAGACACAAGAGATGTAATGTCTGTCAGCAAAATGGGGGAAAAACAATACACGAGAGATGTAATGTCTGTCAGAAAAATGGGAAAAACAAAGACACGAGAGGTGTAATGTCTGTCAGAAAAATGGGGAAAAAACAAGACACAAGAGATGTAATGTCTGTCAGCAAAATGGGGGAAAAAACAATACACGAGAGATGTAATGTCTGTCAGAAAAATGGGGGGAAAAAACAAAGACACGAGAGATGTAATATCTGTCAGAAAAATGGGGAAAAAAAAACAAAGACACGAGAGATGTAATGTCTGTCAGAAAAATGGGGAAAAAACAAAGACACGAGAGATGTAATGTCTGTCAGAAAAATGGGGAAAAAAAAAACAAAGACACGAGAGATGTAATGTCTGTCAGAAAAATGGGGAAAAAACAAGACACGAGAGATGTAATGTCTGTCAGAAAAATGGGGAAAAAACAAAGACACGAGAGATGTCATGTCTGTCAGAAAAATGGGGAAAAAACAAAGATACGAGAGATGTCATGTCTGTCAGAAAAATGGGGAAAAAACAAAGACACGAGAGATGTCATGTCTGTCAGAAAAATGGGGAAAAAACAAAGACACGAGAGATGTCATGTCTGTCAGAAAAATGGGGAACAAAAAACAAAGACACGAGAGATGTCATGTCTGTCAGAAAAATGGGGAAAAAAAAACAAAGACACGAGAGATGTCATGTCTGTCAGAAAAATGGGGAAAAAACAAAGACACGAGAGATGTCATGTCTGTCAGAAAAATGGGGAACAAAAAACAAAGACACGAGAGATGTCATGTCTGTCAGAAAAATGGGGAAAAAACAAAGACACGAGAGATGTCATGTCTGTCAGAAAAATGGGGAAAAAACAAAGACACGAGAGATGTCATGTCTGTCAGAAAAATGGGGAAAAAACAAAGACACGAGAGATGTCATGTCTGTCAGAAAAATGGGGAAAAAACAAAGACACGAGAGATGTCATGTCTGTCAGAAAAAGCTAACAATCTCATTGACAGCTTAGTGAAAACTAATATTCCATTTGATGTTTTTGAGTCAGAACACGACGCATGCATAGTTTATAGTTTTTCAACCAGCATAAGTATCCAGTACTCAGTGACAGATAATCTTTTAGACAGTCATCAAGTTTTTTTTGTTTTTTTTTATAAGAAAGGGATTTTAGAAATATTTACGACAACCAGATGGAGAGAGAATGTTAGAGGCAGAGGTATACAAAGAGAAAGAAACACACACACACACACACATAGAGAGAGAGAGAGAGAGAGAGGGACGGAGAAAGAACGTTGAAAGGGTTAATATAAGTGACATAGAAGACAAAAAGGACTTGAACGGGAACATGATCGTCTGTGCCGCCAAGTATTCACATGATGACGATGATTGTATATCCAGGTACATCAAGTACCTATTAATGTGAATGTTCACTTTACATAAACATTATATCATAAACTGTTTGAAGTAACAGTAGTAATTTAAACAACATCCTGTTAAACCCAGTCAGGTTATATTTGAGATATATAGTCACGAAGAACAGTTAGATTAAGCTATACTGATCACTTCTATTCTATGAAACCATTGAGTAAATACCAGTGGTTTCAGATAACTATAGTGTTTGTGACACACAGGCCTTTCATGTATCATCTCTTGGTTGTGTGCTAGTTTATGCTTTATTGTAGCTCACACTTTTGTTTCCAACAAATATTTTCCAGAAGCATGAACTTTCTGCTGCACATTTCAGGGCGATGTCTCAGTCTGTGGAGGCGTGATGTGTGAACACGACTCTGGCTGTCCAGGAGCCCAGAAATGTTGTTCCGGCTGTGGAAATATGTGCACTAGCCCACTCTGTGGAAATAGCGTGTGTTCTGTGGGTAAGTGTAGTGGGATGTTGTATGTAAGCGTTTGTCACTGATTAATATGTTCACTTGATTAACAAAAATTGTGATTGCTTCAAGCATAAATATGAGTACAAATAGACATTATAAACAGCATATTCATTCCAACATGAAGCTACCAGTGCCAAACATGGACACTATCTCAAGCCCATATAAGCAAAATCACCACCCACGAGATGAGATGCCTGAGAAAAGCAGTCAACTTAACCATTTGAGATCTAGTGAATAATGATACTATCAGACACATTGTGGGAACAACACTTTGTACTAGATTCATCGAGAAACAGCAGATTAAGTGGTTTGGCCATCTCATGAGAATGCAGCAAGATCAAATAACATCACAAGCACTTAATCTCAGAAGATCAGCTACAAGAGCAAGAGGACGGCTGCAGAAATAATGGATCGACAACATTAAAGCCACTTTTCGCCTTCACGGCATGACAATAGCCAGTGGCAGCCAACGTGCACTGGATAGCAAATTATTCCTCCCCACTGCGCTTAACTGCAGAAGTGGTTTATGTTGATGATGATGATGTGATTGCTTCACAAAAATAAATAAATAAATAAATAAATAAAAGTGTTCTTTGAAATATTATGTCTTGGTAGTCACACGTTTATGTCTTGGTAGTCACACGTTTATGCAGGTGTCGTTTTTATTATGTCTTGGTAGTCACACGTTTATGTCTTGGTAGTCACACGTTTATGCAGGTGTCGTTTTTATTATGTCTTGGTAGTCACACGTTTATGTCTTGGTAGTCACACGTTTATGCAGGTGTCGTTTTTATTATGTCTTGGTAGTCACACGTTTATGCCTTGGTAGTCACACGTTTATGTCTTGGTAGTCACACGTTTATGTCTTGGTAGTCACACGTTTATGTCTTGGTAGTCACACGTTTATGTCTTGGTAGTCACACGTTTATGTCTTGGTAGTCACACGTTTATGTCTTGGTAGTCACACGTTTATGTCTTGGTAGTCACACGTTTATGCAGGTGTCGTTTTTATTATGTCTTGGTAGTCACACGTTTATGCAGGTGTCGTTTTTATTATGTCTTGGTAGTCACACGTTTATGCAGGTGTCGTTTTTATTATGTCTTGGTAGTCACACGTTTATGCAGGTGTCGTTTTTATTATGTCTTGGTAGTCACACGTTTATGCAGGTGTCGTTTTTATTATGTCTTGGTAGTCACACGTTTATGCAGGTGTCGTTTTTATTATGCAGGATAAACGTAATTCAGTTTTATCAGTACTAGTGTGATCTTGTTGTTTTATGTTTGACACAAGATCGTTGTCCTCTTTCAAAGAAAACGGTTCATGCGTGTTGTCTAACAGGGAACAACTGGTCTAAAATGTATCTAGATGTATCTGGAGAATGTGTCTAGATTGTTGTCCTCTTTCAAATATAATGAGCCATTAAATAATCCCTTGGAATTATTTAATATTGAGACATTTTTTGGGTGGGGGGGGGGGGGGGGAGTTCTAATATAAATCACGCCTTTCTTAAATATGACTTTGAAAATGTATGGATGACAAACGTACCCACAAAAAAAAAAAAAAAAAAAAGGGTTCATGCGTGTTATCTAACAGGGAACAACTGGTCTAGAATGTATTTGAGATATTGCAGATGTGTAATTGTTCATAAATTGAGTTGATAATTTACTGCATAACACGATGATGATTCTGGATATTCAGATCTGACAGACATCACAGTCTGACTTCTTCTTTCAGATATCAACTCATCACCTATTCTGCTTCTATTGCAGGTGCCCACGTATGGGTGAAATCAACACGGAGGTCATAGCCATTGCATCTAGCCATTCCTTTGAAAGAGTCCTCAAGTCTTGCAAGAATCGTCTTATCTGTCTATTGGGTTTACTGTCCTAAAGGCGTTAATCTCCAACATAGTTGTACAAAGTCAAGTTACGTCCCTTGTCGAAATCACTCCCTTTTGACTATTTATCCTACTTCTCTAGGTCACTGCCTGTCAGGTATCTAACCTCTGCAACGTCACATATCACATGGATATTTTGCGAAACGACTCAGACTGAGAGATTTGATATATTCTTGTCTATAACTGTGTTGTTGTCAGTATCATATGCTGATAAAAGTTTTTCTGCTGCAAAGGTTATTTTGTGGTTGGGGTATGAGGAAGCTACTTTTTGTTCTGACTGTGAGACAGGTGTCCTAACAGATGTTTTCTTAATCTAGAGCTCTGTCTTCAACTATTATGTGGCAGTACTACACCTCTCCATTTTTATTTTACTTTATCATTTCAGATTTCCTCTGTATGCCCCACAATCTAGCTTCTTCTGTACAATTTCCTCAAATAATAATAATACAGTCGAGTCTACTCAAGTCGAACTCAGATAAGCAGAATTTCGGTTAAGTCAACAGGACAATTAAGTCCGGGCAATTTTCTCTATTTTGTGTGCTGTCTGGATAAGTAGAAATCCGGTAAGTCTAAGCATTTTCTTCGGTCCCTGCGACTTCTACTTATCCAGACTTGACTGTAATCATAATAATTTTTTTGTACCCTATAGATATGGAAAAGCTGATGTAGCCAGGCAGGTAATATCTGAGTGATGTTATTGAATCTTACAGGTGAAACTTGTGTGAACAAACACAGACCTTGTCCTCCACGATTCATGTGCCTACAAGTTTTAATGCCATCTTGTGTCCCTGATGGATGTGTCAAGTGTGCCTACAATGAGGACTGCAATAAAACAGATTCTGGGTATGTACTGATGACAGTCAACATTGCATGCAATACACAAACCACTAAATGTTAGGTAACATCTATGACTTTTCATCATCATTATCATGTCCAACGAGATTTTAACCTTTTATGTACGGAGGACCAAACGTGATAGCTATGGACAAACTTGCCGGCTATAGCTAAATGTGCTAGATACTGCACTGTATGGTTTCCGGTTAAAAGAGCTTTTATAAACATTACTGTAAAACATAAAAGTGTTCATTTGAAAACCCGCTCCAGTGATGTCATTGCAAAAGCATGAATGAAATTTGCGCTGTGGGTTTGTCATTTTTTGTTTAATTAATCGTTGTGGCAACGATATGCGCTTTACGCAGCCAGGGACAATTGGTCATGAAGTCAGGCCCTTCCCGAAACATCCGTGCTCGGTGGGTTACTCTTTTCTTTCACACACATATGTCTGCCTGCATTATTCTTTGATGAATCCACTGGTCGACTTCCTTTAAATAAAATATTCAGTTCTCTTTATGCCTAGTGGCACAAGAGGCTTCACAGAGGATTTTCCATGCCTTTCTGTCCTGTGCAATCTTCAGTACAGTTTTCCATGTCAGAGAGGTAGCACTCCGTTTCACTTTCCATCGTTCATGTACACACAGGCCATGATTGTAACGACTCCCAGAGCAAGTTGAGAAAGGTGGAGACAGGCATGCTGCGTGCAAAGTGACAAACATCACTTCAGAGGTCCCGGGTAGTTGGCATCCTTTGGATATTTTCTCCAGGGTATGCCGGCGTGTTGGGAAATGAGCAGAAAGATAGATGGCCAGTTCTGCGCCGCTTGGTGGTAAACTGGTGGTAAGCTGGATGTTGTGAGGGCTCTTTGGGAGCGATTGAACAGTGCGAAGGCACAGACAGATCATTACTATCTGGGTAGAATGGCCCATAGCGCTGCGTGGAGTTCCCAGGGGATCTGGCTGGCGCTTAACACTCAGGGAAAAGGCGAGACGGAGATACAGTCAGACAGTTACCGGATCCATCAGAATTGGAACTCTTAGCTTGCTGATGAAGATGAGGACTGAGCACTAATGGGGATGTCCCAAGTGCTGTGATGTCGATTCTTAATTCAATAATCAACATTCATCCCTTCGTCTCCATGTCATTTTTCAGGTGTCGCTTCTTTCTCTTTCCCTCTGGTGTTCAAATGAGAGCTGTTTTAGCAGATATATCGGGATTCATTTTCCTGACGTGACCAAGCTAATTCCATTTTATCTTTGTTATCGTACTGTCCAGAGTTTCTTGGTTTGTGACTTGAAGTAGTTGAGTGTTTGAGATTGTATCTGGCCAGAACATTTTGATAATTCTACATAGACATGCGTGGTGGAAGGTGGATAGCTTATGTACATCCTTTCGGGTCATTCTTCAACCTTCCACTTCATAAAGAACAATTAAATTTTTCTGTTCCTCTATAGATACGAGTGCATGCCTTATCAACAACTGGATCAGTGTGGAGGGTGTACTGATGGAAAGGTCTGTATAAACACGGGGATAGTGTGTGTAAAAGCACCATGCCCGACCTACCAGTGTGTTACTCCTAATGAATGCGGTGGATGCCCCAACGGACAGGTGTGTAAAAGTACTGCAACCAAATGTGACCAAGAACCATGTGCTCAATCATACCAGTGTGTCCAAGCTGATGAATGTGGTGGGTGTCCCGACGGACAGGTTTGTAAAGATACAGGAATCACGTGTAACACAACAGAATGTCAACGTTTTAAATGCCTTCCAGATAACGAAATTTGTCCTTTAAGATGCCCTGATAACTACGTTTGTGAAATCCAGCAAAACACGTGTACTCTAGTTGGAAGGATTATGTGTATACCTATTGAGGTACCAACATGTGTACCGATTAAACCACAGTTTGGAAGCTGTCCCCGGGTAACCTGGCGACTGCCACCCCAGTCATTGTACTGTAAAATCGAGCAACTATTTTTCTCTTGTCAGGATGATAGTGATTGTCACGGAACTAGGACAAGATGTTGCTCGTCAGTCTGCGGCAGTAAAAAATGTACCTATGCGAACAGGCGAGCAATAAATAAATACACTACGGACTAAATGATATCATTAAGAAAAGTTTGTTTCTCCCATGGTTAGATTTGAAGTTATAAATATGTTTATCAGTTATTAGATATTCTTTTACAAGATGAGATAGCAGCAGTTATAGTATACTACACAGTAGAGTTTTTATCCAGTTATTTTATAAAGTGAACATCATCTTATCCAATAAATCTCTTTAATTTGAGGCTAGAAGAATATTATCAGACTACAAAGAACCAGATTAAACATAAGCCTCCAAATCGTTTTTGGTTAATAAACAAGCCATCATAGCTCTCAAGACAACATAGTTTTGGTTTACAAGAAATTGCCTAAAAATTATTTAACACTTAAAATGAGTAATCCAGATATTTTTTTTAAAAAGCGAAAAACAGATGAAAACGTATCACTAACATTAGAAAGACACAGTTATTGTCGTCTGTGGCCTCAACTTATGACACCCCCTCCCTTTCCCCATTTTAAACCAACACCTCATCTGAATGTCATAAATAAAGGGCATTAAATACCATATACAATTATTGTAAATCTTTGTTGAATCTCATTTAATATTAAAATAGTTCAAGGAGGGAAAAAACCCTACATTTATATTGACCTGTGTTAGGAACCACACGACTATCAGGTAAAGGATAATTGTACTGAAAATCATCTATCTCTGTGGTGCTTACGCTTACTATTTCATCTCGGTCGGTTGCGTTTTGTGCAGATTGTTTACATTTAGTTATTCCTACCATCTGCTCTAATAAACAGATTCAGATTTATTTTATGAAGACACACAAATTTGTCATAAAATATTTACAATTATCTTTTAGTATCACAATTTAATGTTTTCAGAGAGCATATAAACCCCATAAAAAAGACACGAAGTAGGGTTGTACAAAATCTGAAATTAACAACTTGTTTATAATTGCCTTGTGTGTACACCTCGAGGCTATTATCTTCTCTAATATAACTAGACACAATATTTGACAGGTAGCATTATAGTTATAAAAGATCAATGTAGTTTAGTAAGTATTTTTACACAACATCTTATTTGAAAATAATCAAAGTTAGCAAGTTGTATATCGTTGGTCTTTAGTTTTATGAAGATATATACCTTCTAACAGCTTCATTGGGTCTTTCTTTGACACTTAATAGACAGCAGTCAATGGTATCCTTCGAAAGCTGCCAAAATAATAAAATGGCTTTCAACAGTCCTCACATTCGAGCACTTTTTCACACACATGTACATATTTTTACGCATTTACACATATTTTACACATACAAGTATTTACTGTCACACCTACTCCTCCTCCCCTTTCCACATACACATGAATACATGCATAAGCAGAGACACATATACAGACCCTAACACAAAGGCACACACACAAACACACTTACACCTACTCATAGCACACATACGCTAGTATTGAAAACTCTCTGAACTACCAAAGAAATTTTACCAAACCTATATGCTTAAATTACCTTAGATGTTTGCAGAAATTGTCATGAGCAAACTTGTATTTTCTGTGATACATATTTTTGCCAAATTGTAGGAATAAAGCCATCAACCAACTTTTCTATGATTTTTGTGTTTTAAATTGTTACAAATTTTATGTTCACTGTTCTTGTATAACAACTTGCTGTTGTATCTCATTATTTCTTTAGCATCAATATTTGCTTTCAATATTTACACTTGTTATCTGTGAGAGGACAACATTAAGTAGAGGCAGGTAATGAGTTTCCTTTACAAGCGGCTGGAAAACAATAGGGCTGTGGTTTATTTCTCGACATAGTCTCCCTGTGTTGCGACATATTAGTTCATTAATTCGAACATTTACAAAGTCTGGCCCAAATAGTGCATAATTGGGCTTTCATTCATGCGTTCTCAGACTAGTCTATGTTATAAGGGTGTCACGTTGTCTTGTGTTCATGAAGCGGATAATTTTAACAAATCTGAAGCCATGGGACATACTCTGCTCTCTCTATGGGACCTGGACTGAGAGTTTAGTATGGAAGACACGTCATCACCGGTGAAAGCAGTGTAGACATGGCACCCCTGCAACGTAGACTGGCTTGAGCAAGCATGAATGACAGGTTAACTAGTGTGTAAATGGGCCGGACTTCGTAAAAAGAACCAATAAGTCCATCGACTAACAAGATTGTAAATGCCTACAAGGTAGAAGCCGTTGGATGTTGCCAATTACCTAATTTTCAGAGTTCTGGCACCTGAACATGTTTGAAGCACAATCTGACGCAACCCAATGCAATTTGTAGGATTTGTATGTTGTCTCCTGTAGCCACTTGCAGGGAAATTGAAGGAAGAAATCCAGTAAATATTTCATTATCCCGGTCAGTGAAAAAATAAAAAATAAATTAACTATAGCGCACAGATGCTTTTGAGCAGAAACATTCATTAGTAGACTAATTTATAATGATGACATATTTCTTGTTGTGAAAGTCGTCAGTAAAGTCAGCCTTAAGGGCAGGCGATATATTTTCTTTAAAAAAAATGATTATGCATAAACATTTAGTTCTATGCAACTGTATATGTTCAGTGTACTGTCCCGACCATGCGCTATCATGATTTTACTTTGTTGATCATTTGTGCGTATTGCACAATGACAGGTTATGCTTACAGCAAGTTGCAACTCTGCTTCTTTAACTTTATCATTACTTTGCCTAGGACTCATTGTTATAATTAGCTGTGACTGGCTTTTTTGGTGGACAGTTTTCATTTTGTGTTTTTTTCTTCTTCAGATTTCTCATGATTATTGTTAATGATTCTTGATACAATAGCGTTCTGATGCAGTTTACAATAAGCTGCCTTTGATCTGTCTAACGAGCACCACAAATAAAAGGAAACCATATAAGACAGCAAAGGAACCTTCTTCGATATAGCAGGCCTCCGGGCGGCTGAAAGAGGATCAAATTTGGAATTTTTGTTGGACGAATTGGAATTGGAATTGTCTAACGAACCTTTGAGCCATTGGTATGTTTAATGCCAATTACTATTATTCTTGAGAATGCTGTCATAAGATGCTTTCCATTTTGTGGAATTACGTGACCATTGATAAAAGTAATCTTTTTTTTTCTTTGCGTTCACCAGCTGTAAACTCAGGCGGAAAGTTCTGGTTGTTCACCCACTTCTGGACAGCAGTCCTGTTCCTGAACCTGGGTGCTGCATGTGCATCCGTATGCAGACTGCTGGTTCCTTGCCTCTCAGGTAGATGCACTCCGACTTCGAAGGAAGCTCCAAATTAGTCGACTCCTATGACATACCTTTAGATAGCCAAGGGGTCTGTTCTTGTTTTCCCTATAATGGGGCCCCGGAACCCACACGGGGAACAGGTAAAATTAATAAAATCTATGACAGCTAGAAACAAGTCTGTACCATCTCTACTTTCTATCTCAAGTGGTTTCTGAACAGTCTTAATCACTTGGTATCACTGGTGGGTTTCGGTTGTGTTTAATCCCGTATTTATTCTGGTAAATTCACTTTTTTCTCTCAGTAAACTCCCACCATATGCAAGTCTTCCCATGACTCCGTACTGCAGGAAGTGTCAACGTGCAATGGTATATTCATGGCCTGTTTTATTGCAGTTTTATTTTTCTAAGCAAATTTACGTCCAGTAGTTTGCCATAGCCTTCTTGAGACCACTGGGATCGAACCTGGCATACCAGCATTACGAAGCGTTCGCATCGACTTAGCAACAGAGCAACATATGATGTAGCTGGCTTTTTAAATTAAAAAAAAAAATTCTGACATCTTTATCTTTCACATTTTCTTCTGGTTCATTCTATGAATATCAGTTAATTATAATTTACACAATAAATAAAGAAGATTTTAAATCTCGCCAGCTTTAGCTGTGAGTTTCCGGTCCTTGTTTTTCAGGTGACTGCCACGATAAGGCCTGTGTTGTGTCTGATTTCTTCTTTCGAGGCTGCAGTCGTGTCGTGTTGCTCGCTCTCTTGTTTTGTATTAGCTGATCTGTCTGAAGTTGCTGTTGTAGTCCTTCTTGTTGGTTTTAATATTCTCAGCCTTCCTTGGAGCCTCCTCCGGCATGGATGTGTCTGAAGTGTGCAGTCTCTTTTTCTTGGTCGCGGCGAGTTTCGATTGGCTGTCCGCGGGGTGGCGGGAAGCATGGAAGCCAGAAGTGCTTGTGGGGACCTCTGTTAAGCTGAGACCACTGAGGTCGGGCTCTAAGGTCTGCTCATGCTCATCTATTGCCTTGTCGTGAAACCTGTTGAACCGGGAGAAAGGGCCAATAGCAAACTCGTTCAGAGACAGTTTCAGGTTGTATTTATGGTGCCTGCGGATAGTGGACTTAACCAAGTCAAGTCTGTGTCTCCAAATACCTTTTGGGGAGGTTGCAGCGTCTATGTACCTCAGGTTGTGCCTGCCGTATCGCGACTTTCTATGGCCTGACGAGGACTGCAGCAGGAAGCTGATAATTATTTCTGTATGGACTGAGATCTGCCAAATGTCATGCTACTATTATGTGGCCATGTACAGGGGATTGACAGATAAGGAAGCCCCAAACAGGCTTCTAAAGAGCAATTTCGGTTGTTGCTTGTGGGCTCCGATTGGCCCAGGAAGCCCGAGGTCCTTTGAGGGCTTTTAGATTCAGGGTGCGAGAGAGTAGTCTCCCATTCGCACAAAATGATGAACTGCACGTTTTGCAAACTTTGTGCGGCGAACAAACTAGTTTAGTCTCTTCAGTAGATCCCGGCCAGAGACACTCAGGGGAACAGCGAAGAGCACTCAGGGGAACAGCGAAGAGCAATCGACGTGAGTACTTGCTGGCATGTCTTTATCGCCGCTGACAGGGTCTGGGAATGGCCGGCCAAGCGACAACGAGAAATCTATGTCGGGTTGTTCCGTCCCCGTACTGGTTGTGTTCAATGCAGTCACCTCTGAGACTTTCTTATCGACAGATGAAGCGAATCTTGTGACGGTGACAAATATGATTTTGATGTATTTAACATCATATGTTTTAAACTAGTTTTCTTCCGAAGACTTA